TTTATTAATTATCATATGTAACCATCCGAATTGGTCTTGTAAGACCTAAGATACTATTTATTATATATTTATATTATATAACATTAATTATGTATTTTTATATAAATATAACATATGATTAATAAAGAATAAGCAAGTTTTGTAAAATAATTTAATTATAAACCACAAATTTCGCTAATAAATATTTATTGATATTTATTTTCTAAAACGAATTAGTAGATTCGTTACAATCCTTGAGTTTTTTAATATCTTTATACCAACCAATGTGATGAAACTGATATTGTGCTCCTTGCACTTCTAATGTGATTCGATTAATTCAGAAGAAGGCATCAAGTTCTAATCCTCCCATAAACATTGGATGATATTTAACTACGGATTCCTCATTAAGAAGTATCTGGACTATATATGTTCCCAAAATTGATTTTGAATTTTTGAGGTATTTCGACTTTTTTAGATTTATACAAAATCTATTCTATATATGGAAGTAAAAAAGTACCCAGTTATATGTATCTTTAATCAAAGAATAAATCTGAGTGGTAAAAAAATTTCAGATTTTAAGTAAAATAATTTTATCTTCTATGAAAAACTATTTCGACTTTTTTTTTCGAAATTGTAATTTTGGGACCTCAAAATAATTTTGTGTGCAAGTATAATCTGGACTATTAGAATGTATTTCTCTTGAAATTTACAATTTTTCTTATTTTCGACAATAACAAAGTAGCTAGATTCTAATTCTTTTTTAAGTTTATCTATAAGATACCTTTGATTTTTATTTTTATACTTAAGATCATATTTCTGTACTTTAAGTTTAAAAATTTTGAATATATATTCATCACACTGAAACTGAAGCATTTCACTTTTCTTAATATATTGAAACTAGAATCTATTTATTTTGTCAAAAATATATCCAAGCATCTTTTGAAATGTTTTTACATATTCATCAGTTTCTTTATCTCCAAATACTTTAGATTTAAGAAGTTCTAGTACAAGTGAAAGATAGTGTTTTCTCATTATTTTATATGGACAAATTAATTCTTCTGTTTTGGGGACATTGGTGATGGTGAGCAAACTGAAGACTGTGAAATAGTAACATCTTAGTTTTGACCTTATCAACTTTACTGATTCTCAATTTCAATTTCAAACTGCATATTTGTAATTTATTTTTATATATCCAATAATGAAATTAAAATATATAACCATATATTTATTGTAAAATATCAAATCACTTAAACTATAACAAACAAAATTTACATTGCGATGACCTAAAGTATCAAAGCTTGATAAATTATTATAATCATTTGTTCTACTATTGAGTCAAAAAAATTTTTTATTATCAGATATATGATATACTACAAATTTCTTATTTAATACAATAGCAATATTAAAATTATTAATCGGAGACTGACGAATACCTAGTTAAATCATGCAAAACATCCTATATATGAACTTTTGTAAGTTTTTTTTCTACTATTTAGATTGTAATAATATCCCACTTTACTCTCATTTTCAGAATATGTGAAATCTATATCTTCTATCTTGTTATTTCTTTGATAGTTAGTATATCTGATATCATCAAAATGCATTGTACTCATAATATTATCATTAAAAAAATTTTCTGACTCATCATCAGATAAAGCAGTAATTAAAGAATATGGTTTATTTACATTGGTTTTTATATCACTTATTTCAATTCCAGTAGATGTATTTACCGAAGCTTCTGATAATTCTGAATCTTGATCAATAGATATACTTATCACAGTTTTGAGTAAATCATCTGAAGAATTGTCCTGATCATCGGTGTATTCTATATTAGGCTTTTTAGTGAAGTGATTTATAATCATTTGAATCTGAGAATTGATAAATTTTGAAATAGTATCTGCACTATATGTTTTAATATATTGAATCTTGTTCATTCTTATTTTTTCAAATAAATTAACAATCCTTAAAACTTTCTATATCTGCTTATATAAAGTTTTGCACTTGGTATCAGGTAATAAATCATATACTTGACCTTATGCCTTTTTTTTCTTGACTTTATTGTAGATCATAAAATCTTTATACATACTTTTAAATTCTTTAGCATAGAAACACCAATGTGATATTTCTTCTCTATTGGCTTCGATTGCATCAGCTTCCACATCATATGTGTTTTTATATAGACTAATAATATCTCCATTATCTGGTGATAACTGGGGTATGACTGAATTAAGTCCTGTTTCACAGAAAGTAGTGGATACAGTATTTTGAAAAATTGAGTGTACTTTCTGATTAGGTAATTCACACTGAAGTTTTTTATTCCTATTCTTCTGCCTAATCTCTATATCATTCAATAATTTAGGTTTCACGTGAGTCTCTAACTTCTGGTATATATCAATCAAAGATAGGCTAATGCCAAAATTTGTTATGTTGGGTGTATCAGATGCAAGAATATCCACACTTTGTGAAATTATCTGTTTGGGAGTTATAGGAGTAATACTAATTATAGAATCATTTGTTTCACAGTGTATTGAAGTTTCTTTATCAGTTGAGTTTCAATAGATAGAAAAGTTATTTGTAATTTGGATTGAGTTGAGTCATGTTTTATCTTAGGTATAGAATTGGAGGTAATAGCTTTCATCTCATTAGATTGGCTCTTGACCTTTAGCTGACTTATATTAATATGTGCTGAAATATCTTTTGTGGAGGTATTATCAATCAAAGATAGGTTAATGTCAAAATTTATTTCAAGAATAATAGACATTTGTAAATTTATTGGATTATACGAATTATTAATATCTATGCCTTGTGTATTCTGTTCCTTGATTAGTGAAACATCACATTCTAATTTCATAAATCTAGTTTCATATTCTTTCAAAATTTGTTTTAACTTTGTATTTTTAACTTTAATCTCAATATTTTCAATCTTAACTTTGGCATTTCTAATTCTAATCTCGATATTCTCAGTCTCAACCTCAACAAATTTCTTTCTAAGTTTAGCAATCTGGTGAACAAGATCAGAATTTAATTCTTTCAATATCTTAATCGTGAATTACAGATTCCTCTTAATTTTATACAAAATGCAGATATGTTCAAAAGTTTAAAAAATAAATATGTAATTTTTGACAAATCAAGTTTGTTAAAATTTTATCAAGAAAATTCTCAAACATATATAGTAAATTCGATAAATTCGATCAAGCGACATGATTAGAAAAATTACTATTATATATTACAAAAAAAATAATACATAATATATTGTACATTCTTCTAGATACAAAATATCTTTATTTCATAAGACCAAAAAATCTTTATTAATAAAATATATATATATGATAAAAATACAGGATAAAATACATAATATATGAAGAAAAATATATAATAAATAAAAAACTAATTGTTATCATGTAGTGAAGTTGACACTGTAGTATCATCTTTTTTCTACCTTTCTGATATAGTTACTGATGTGTGATATAGCAAAGATAGGTTAATGATTATTAAATTATACAAAAGTAATAAAGTTTCTATAAATTTATATACAACTCTTTCATCTGAAAATTGTACTGAGATTTTAACAGACCAGAGGTAATAATATTGATATTATACTTGTACGCAAAATTATTTTGGAATCCAAAATCCAAAATATAAATATTTGAAATTGATCTTAAAATACTATTTCAAAATTTTGATATTTCAAAATTAAAATGGGAGTTGAAATTAAAATAAAAGTTGAAATTAAAATAAAAGTCAAAATTAAAAATGTGAGTTGAAATTAAAAATAAAAGTCAAAATTAAAATAAAATCAAATTTAAAATTAAAATAAAAATTATTAGAAAAAATTTTTAAAATATATATTTTCAAAAGTTATATAAATTTTTAAAAATTTTTATTAAAAAATCTGTTTTTTTTTTAAAAAAAATAATATTCACTGATCAAAAATTGATAAATAATACATATATCAGATACCCAATAGGTGTAGAAAATATTTATATATATATTGGATACTCAATAAGTGTAAAAATATTTTTTAATTTTTTACACATATCGGGTACCTGATATATGTTCAATATTAAGAACGTACCATGCACATATCAGGTATCTAATATGTGTATTATTTATCAATTTTCGACCAGTGATTAATACATACTACAAGTTTATAATTACAATTCTAAAGCAAGGGTAAGTACCTATACTATTTTACGAGCCTAAAAGCATAATTTTGAGAAAAGGTAAGTTAAGAAGAGATAGAAAGGTAAGTAAATATATTTATTAAAAAAATAATAATAATAAAAAGAAAGAAAAAATTTATCTATGTCATTTCGCAATCATCTATACTATTTCACGAGTCCAAGAGCACAATTCAGAAAAAAGATAAGTTAAGAAGAAGTAGAAAGGTAAGTTAAGAAGAGATAGAAAGGTAAGTTAAAAGGTAGAAAGGTAAGTGAATTTATTTTATTAAAAAAAATAATAATAATAAAGAAAGAAAAAGCTTACTTACGCCATTTTGCGATTGCCTGTACCATTTCGTGAGCTTAAGAGAGGAAAGATAAGTTAAAAAGAGGTAGAAAGGTAAGTTAAGAAGAGATAGAAAGATAAGTTAAGAAGTAGAAAGGTAAGTGAATTTATTTTATTAAAAAATAATAATAATAAAGAAAGAAAAAACTTACTCGTGGCATTTTGTGATCGCCTGTACCATTTTACAAGCCCAAGAGCACAATTTAAAAGAAAGGTAAATTAAGAAGAGAAGAAAAGGTAAGTAAATATATTTATTAAAAAAATAATAATAAAAAGAAATAAAAAACCTACTTACATCATTTCACAAATTCAAGAGTACAATCTTAAGGAAAGGTAAGTTAAGAAGAGGTAGTAGAAAAATAAATTAAGAGGTAGAAAGATAAATGAATTAACTCACGTCATTTTGCAATCGTCTACGCCATTTCGTAATCGTTTGTATAAATCCCTAAACTTTATTTTTTTTAAAAAAAAAATCTATAGATCTATAATTTTGAAGTTTCATAACTATTTCATTCTCATCAAATGCTAATTTTGATTGAGATTACATTAAATTTTGTCCTCCATAATAATTTTGACCCCCATAAATATTTTTATCTTTTATAATAATTTCAGGGTTAATTTTGAATTTTGGAATTTGATTTCAGGGTCATTTTAAATTAACTAGGATTGGGTTTTGAATTTTTAATTTTGGAGGCATGTATAATTTTAATATATTATTTGAATATATTGTATTTATAGTACTAGTCAAATACAAAAGAATCACTGTACCAAATGATAATTCCTATATTATAGATTAGCTAAAAATTAGTAACAATTGACTATCTTATTATATCCTATATTATAAATTAATAAAAATCAAAATTTCTTTTTGATATAACATATCTTTTGTATTTGACCTACACTCACCTAGCAAAAGTATCCGACCACTTAAAAATTATTAATTACAAAGTAAATTTTTATCTGTTAATAACTCG